GCCCTAGGTTTATCTACTTCAGTTCAACTGACTCAAATTCATTCCTTTTTATGGTTGAGTAATATTCCATCATATATATATATATATATGTATATATATATATATATATATGTACCACATCTTCTTTATGCATTCATCAATTGATAGACATTTAGGTTGCTTCCAGGTCCTGGCTATCATAAACAGTGCTGCAGTGAACATTGGGATACATGTGTCTCTTTGAATATGTAGATAATCTACTTGTGATGGATGTAGTGCTTCATATGAAAAATTCAGTTTTTATCCTAATCCAGCTAGGAAATCCATCACAAGTAGGATTTTAGACTTTATCCAAGGCAAAAACTTGCATCTCCTCCAAATATTTTATTCCCTTCCTTCTCAACATCTGGAAATTAGTATCAGTTGGTATTTTGTGTTGACTGTGAGGTCTGCATTTTTATGCCATTATTAAAATAAGCCATGATTCTTTGTGGAGGGGGTGAGGATATTCAAGTGTAACATTAGTTCAGAGAGAAATAGCCAAACACCATATACTACCCAACCCCAGAAAGAAAGATTCATGAAAAGCTGTCACCCCAGGTAAAGAAGGTCTTGGATTCATGTCAGGAGGGGAAGAGAGAATCATATGTCTTTGGAATTCTGTTGGCAACCAGAGGAGGGTGTTCTGGAAGAAATACAACTCTCTGCCACATGGGTCTGTCGGAACATTCAGAGCAGGGAGATAGGCCCTGGAATGGGCACTATTTCCTGGCCATGGGTGAACTCATTTCCCATAACTTGCGAGTACAGCACCAACCCTAGTCACGTGTGATAGAGTAGCACTGGTTATTGGCAAATCCATAAAGAGAATAAAGAATTTCTAAAGCACTTGAATTTCCCAACAGATCTTCCTCATTATTTGGATTTCTTAAGGTCAAACATAGAACATGAACAAAACAGAAGTAGTTGTGTGGGGGGTTACTTTTACTTTTGCCTTTATTCCAAATAAATTAGATTTCTGTTTGTTTTGGCCTATTGTCAGTATCGTTCCACTAGAACCTTCCATCATGCTGCATGCGTTACGGAGGAACGCACAGGCCACCTTCCCACTAATAATCTCTGAGACATTGTTTCTCAGATACACAAAGGAGCTAAGTTACCCTTTTAAAGGAGATCCATCTGGCAGTGAAAACTCACCCTTTGGCTTTCCTAAATGGCTAGGCTGTTTAATGAACCTCCTCAGGTTAAACAGGAAAAAAAAAAATCAAATTATGGATAAAAGATCACAGAATCAGTTCAGAAGTATGAGTAGAGTTGGGAGGACATCTCCCCATGGCCACTCTGTACTGGCAGCCAGGGTCAACCTGATACATAGATTGAGTGGAGGTGAATTGTTAGAATGAGGTGAAGGTCACCAGGCAGGACACTGCTACTCTAGAATCTCTCCCTTCTAGTCTCTGCTGGACCCAAAATGTTAGCACTAATGCAACGGGCTTTCTATTTTTTTTTTATATATAAAAATTTATTTATTTATTTTTGGCTGGGCTGGGTCTTTGTTGCTGCGAGGGCTTTCTCTAGTTGCAGCAAGCAAGGGCTACCCTTCCTTGCTATGTGCAGGCTTCTCATTGCAGTGGCTTCTCGTGTTGCAGAGCACAGGCTCTAGGGCGTGTGGGCTCAGTAGTTGTGGTTCCCAGGCTCTAGAGCACAGGCTTAGTAGTTGTGATGCCTGGGCTTAGCTGCTCCCCAGCATGTGGGATCTTCCAGGACCAGGGATCGAATCTGTATCTGCTGCATTAGCAGGTGGATTATTTACCACCAGGGAAGCCTGCAGTGGGCTTTTTGACCCATGAGGCACATTGATTTGACAAACACTTGCTGGCTAATGACTGTGGCCTATAATCTAGCTACTAGATGGGGAAGGGTCCTCGAAGAAGAAGCAAGGACTAAACATCACAGAAGGAGGGAAAACTTCCACCTGGTGTGACCTGGGAGGATTACATGGTGGGTGAGCAGGAATTTTCCAGATGGATATGGGCAGAGGGAATTCTGAAAGAAGAGATTTGCACAAGTGCAGAGGAGGATGAATCAACACACGTGAGACCAGGTCATGGAACCTGGACACCAGAGGACCAAGAGGGTCTTCTGGGGCAAGTGGGATCCAGAGCTGAGTGTAAGGAAGACAAATGTTTGAAAGATGCAGATGCATGGAGATGCATGGAGACAGATCAGGTAGGAAGAGCAGTTGAGAGGTAACCGTAAAAATCTACCAGAAAGACAGAGGGGACAGGGGCGAGAGAGGAAGAGAGAACAGCGGCAGGAGGATGGTGATGAGACGGCTGTGATGATGCAGTGGGATAAGAGGTGACGGGAGGAGGGCATGAACAGCAGAGATGATGAGATCTCTATAGACACACCAGGTTGGAGATGCTGGCTGGACATCCCAGAGAAAATGGACCATCCATTAATGGGATGGAGATGAAGAGCCAGAGGCCTGGAGAGCTGATGGTAAGGAGGAGCCAACAGGAGCAGATGGACAAAAAGTCAGTAAGATGGATTCAGGAAGAAGGTGTTTCACCCCGAAGTCTCTGACTTACGGGGCAGATAACCCTAGAAGGAACACACTGAAGCCAGCGCTAGCATTAGCACGTGCTAGTTCGGCGTAAACTCACAGCTCCGTAGAGGGTCCGGCCTGAAAGTCCAGGGGCAATGTCATGGGTAGGCTCAAGGAAGCAAAGCTGAGCCCAGGACCTAGGCTTCTGCAGAGGGAGGGCAGAGATGGAGGGCTGGCCGTGGCTGTGGATGGCATGTGGATGCAGTGATGTCCGCTAGGGTCTGGGGTGGAGGGAACAGAGATCCCCCTACTGAGGTGGGAAAGGCTGCTTCACCGGTCTGTCCTGACCGGCCAGTGGGGAGGTGTGCTGGTGGAGGGGGACAGGGAAAACTGAGCGTGGGAGTCCCACCAATCCTGCCTCTCCCCCGCACTTCGGTCCTTCCAGCCTCCAAGGCCTTGTGCTTCCGTCCAGAGAATGGGTGTGGAGCCCTTATACTTATCCCTGCAGAAGAGCGAGACCTCAGATGCTCTAAGATTCCAGGCAGTGGAATATTTGAGCACAGTGTCTTCCACGATGTGTTCATTTCAACACGAGAAGCCTTGAATTCCTGCCCCAGCTCCTCCCCCTGATGGTAACTGGACGTGTCTTACTCCCACGCGTGTGCTATGTCAGTCGCCCAGTTGTGTCCGACTCTTTGTGACCCCATGGACTGTAGCCCGCCAGGCTCCTCTGTCCATGGGATTCCCCAGGCAAGAATAAATACTGGAGTGGGTTGCCATTCCCTTCTCCAGGGGATCTTCCTGACCCAGGGATTGAACCCAGGTCTCCTGCACTGCAGGTGGATTCTTTACCACTAGTGCCACCTGGGAAGCCCCATTGCCCTGGGTAGATCTGTCTTGAGTTGCTCAGTAACTCTGAACAAACAGCTTTGTGTCTCTGGCCCTGCATGTCCTCAGATGTGCTGTGGGAATCCTATGCCATAGACTAAGGTCTCATGATATACTGTATGTGAAGGTACCTCACCCTGTCATTTTCATACAAATCCTGGTTGTGATGTATTGTGTGATGTTGATGTTACTCTTGAGAACTCAGAGAAAACAGGACAACCCCACATTAAGTGAACCGCCTTTTGGAGCAAGGAGAGATGAGCAGGTATTTGCTTCCCTTCCCCCAACCCCCTCCCTGCCTTTTTAAGCGGGAACTGCTTTTTCCTCCTTTGGAGGAAAACGGTATTTTTTCCTCCCTTGCCAGTGAGATGCTGCACCTATTTCTTTCTCTAGTCTACCTTCCCTGTGTACTGTGCTTAGTCGCTCAGTTGTGTCTGACTCTTTGCAACTCCATGGACTGTAGCCCGCCAGGCTCCTCTGTCTATGGGGATTCTCCAGACAAGAATACTGGAGTGGGCTGCCATGCCCTCCTCCAGGGGATCTTCCCCACCCAGGTTTCCTGTATTGCAGGTGGATTTTTACAGTCTGAGCCACAAGGGAAGCCCAAACCCTATTTGCATTATTAGACGCATTTGATGCACTGTTTTCATCACTGGGAAAAATGAAACTGGTCCTCCTCAGCTGCCCCTGAGAGCACCCCCAGCAGAGACCTCCTGTCCCGGTGAGCTGGTCCATAGTGAGGCCTGGCCCCGAGGACCTCCGTGTTCCCACAGCACCATTGGAGGGACAGGGGCACCACAGGGGAGGAGCGGAGAGGAGAGGCCAGGCTGGTGCGATGGGGGAATTACAGGACAGAGTCTCTCAACACTCCATGGCATCTTTTTAGTCCAATTCAACCCCTTACCCCACACCTTACATGGTGCTTGTCATACAATAGGTAGTTAATAAATATTCATCAGATCGATGGAATGAGGAGGAAATAAGAGGTCATCTCAAGGAAATGCAACCCACTCCAGTATTGTTGCCTGGAGAATCCCATGGACAGAGGAGCCTGGTGGGCTACAGTCCTTGGGGTTGCTGCTGCTGCTGCTAAGTCGCTTCAGTTGTGTCCAACTCTGTGCGACCCCATAGACGGCAGCCCACCAGGCTCTGCCGTCCCTGGGATTCTCCAGGCAAGAACACTGGAGTGGGTTGCCATTTCCTTCTCCAATGCATGAAAGTGAAAAGTGAAAGTGAAGTCGCTCAGTCGTGTCCGACTCTTCGCGACCCCATGGACTGCAGCCCACCAGGCTCCTCCATCCATGGGATTTTACAGGCAAGAGTACTGGAGTGGAGTGCCATTGCCTTCTCTGGTCCTTGGGGTTGCAAAGACTCAAACATGACTGAGCGCACATGCACGCACACACAGACACACACACACAGACACACACACACACAGACACACACACACAGACACACACACACACACACACACAGCGATCCTAACCCACACAGCCTTCCTGCTGGTGAAAAAACGGTCCCAGATGACCAGAGGTGTCCTGGATTTCACGCTTATGCCTTTTGTCTTCTTTTTATGTTTCAGGTCCTCCTGGTCCCAGGGGTCCGAAAGGTGACCGAGGACAGCAGGGACCCCCAGGCCCCACCGGCAACAAGGGGCAGAAAGGAGAGAAGGGGGAGCCAGGCCCGCCTGGCCCAGCCGGTGAGAGGGGCCCAATCGGGCCAGTTGGCCCCCCTGGAGAGCGCGGCAGCAAGGGCTCCAAAGGCCTGCAAGGCTCCAAAGGCTCCCGAGGGTCCCCTGGGAAGCCCGGCCCCCAGGGCCCCAGTGGGGACCCAGGCCCCCCCGGCCCACCGGGCAAGGATGGACTCCCAGGCCCCCAGGGTCCCCCTGGCTTCCAGGGGCTGCAGGGCACTGTCGGGGAGCCTGGGGTGCCCGGGCCACGGGGGCTGCCAGGCCTCCCTGGGGTGCCGGGCATGCCAGGTATCAAGGGTCTCCCTGGCCCCCCGGGCCCCGCAGGGGCGGCAGTGCCCCTGGCCCTTAAGACCGAGCCGACCACAGCACCTGAGAACAACGGTGAGTCTGAGCCCCTCGCACCCAGGATGGGGGTGCTCCCCGTGTTCGCCCCACACACCCAATCTTATTAGCAGTGAAGGCATCACACAGGGTGGACCTCAGCCCTTTCTGCTCGCCTGGCCCCTCGCCAGGCAGCATCCTTCAGGCATGTGTGTTTATCCCTAAACAGCATCAGCCCCTCTAGTGCTTGTTTATCATTAGCTAAGTCGGGTCCTCTGGGACAAACTGGTGCCAGACGTTGAATTCAGGAAAATCTGAGACTGGCCACCCCAGAGCCATCCCTGTCTTCATTCTCTGCCTTTCACCTGGGGATGGTCGACCCTTGGTTAACGTGCAGATGGAACTTTCTGTTCCTGAAGCCAGCTCGCATTTCTTTTTGAGAAGGTATTATGGCACCGTCTCATCCTTTGATGATGAAAGCTTTGGGTTTGCAACCAAGCCTTTCTTTCTCCCCTTGGACCCACAGCCGATTCCACTTGGTTTCCTGCCGTCCCCTTTAGTTGCATTTCTTCTGTGAGCCTAGCTCTCCCAGCCTCTTGTTTACAGGTTCTATGTGATCCCAGGCTGATGGGGCCCACCTGAGACTGTGCTGCTTGTCATTTCCGTGTCTGTTACTTCTGTCGTTGTAAAGACTAACCCAGACACAAAGGCCCGCTTAAGTGGTTTTAACCACCGGGTGTCCTGCAGGCCACCTACTTCCTCAGACTGGTCTTGGCCCCTAGAATGTTCGGGAACATCAGTCACAGACTCAGCACACGGGCACTGGGGAAGCCGGGCTGTGGCTATGCCTCCTAAAGGCAGTGTTTTCAGCGTGTATATGTTTTCATCGGCATTTTTAAACTTTGCATTTCTAGGCTGCCTGCCTCACTGGAAGAAATTCGCAAACAAATGCTACTTTTTTTCATCTGAGAGAGACTTTTTTGCGAATGCAAAACTTTTCTGCGAAAGCATGTCTTCACATCTCGTTTTCATAAACACGGAAGAGGAGCAGGTACGTGTGTGGCATTCTTAGGGTTGGAGAAAACTGTAATTTAAGGATCGCTGACATCTGGAAAGTGCATGCTTACTAAGGATTCAAAGATACCATAAATTCATGGTCACAGAAACACCAAGGGCCACATAACTGAGATTTGGGCTTTATCCAGGGACAGAAAGCATTCATGGCATGGGGATTGGGTCCTTGTGCTCGCACCTAGAAGCTCTTGCTTTATCAAGCCTGGAGCTGTCTGGCTTTTCCCGGTGACTATTGAAAGAGCAGGAAGCCTGCAGGTCGGTACAAGTCTCCTATGGAGAGGCAGAGAGCCCTGAGCACTGGAGGGGTGGGGCGGAATGCCAGAGTCCAGGCAGGTGGCCTCAACAGGGTCAGGAAGGGCATATATGGTCCTGGGGCAGAGCCCACACGTGATAACCACTCATTTGGTCCCTAATGTGTTCCAGGCATTTTCTCCTATAAACCTCACCACACCCCAGGAGCCTGCGGGTAATATTATTCCCATCTTACAGATAGGAAAACTGAAGCCCCACAAAATTTGAATGATTAATACATGAGACAAGTAAATGCAGAGCTGAGACTGAAACTGAGGTCCATCCAGCAACAACACCAGTGCTTTCTTTCTCTTTAATGCCGCAGTGTCTCAGGGGCCTCCTTCCTTTCCCCTGCATGTCTCTGGCAGACAGGACCCTGAAAACGGATGCTTCTACAGTAATTGACTGGAAATGAGCATCCAGAAGACAGTGGTCAGGCTCCTGGGCCTGATCCCAGCTCAACCACTTGTCACCTTTATTAGGTTGGTGGTTGTAATGGCTCAAAGACATGTTATGTGTGACACTGGACGTGGGACCCGGCCAGGGGGAAAAGCTTGATAGTGCCGTGGCTGTTACTATATTAGAACATCAGAGGGAGAGGTTGTGGGAGGGGGTGGAGCCTGGTGGGATTCATGAGTGGTCTGGATAGTTTAGGAGTATCGCTTATAATATAATAGGAAAACATGCCAAAGCCCTCCCCTCCCCCCTGCCCACCACCAAAAAAAAAAAAAAACAAACCCCAGGGCCAAACAAGTGCAATGAAAAGAGGACAGCAAAAGCAGTGCACAAGTTATGACAAGCATCCTCTTCGAAAGTGTCCCTCATTTCTAAATATTGAAAGCCCCCCAAACATCTGTTCAAGAAATAGTGACGCACCGTCTATGATTTTATTTTCCAGCAATGGATCAAAAAGCAGATGGTGGCGAAAGAGAACTACTGGATTGGCCTCACGGACTTGCAGCGGGAGAATGAATGGAGGTGGCTGGATGGGACATTTCTGGAGTACGAGTGAGTCTCAGAGACGTCCGCTGGCCTGTGTTTCTTCCTGAACAAGCTTGTGGCAGCGCAGTCCTCACACTCAGACTCTGGGTGCCAGCTGCATGTTTATTTCCATGGAGGGAAATCAATATGGGGTAAAAGTCGGGCTTTTTTTTCCTCTTCTCATGGGAGTGAATTTTTCTTCATTTCTACTAAGAAGAAACAAACAAACAAACACACAGACTCATAAAACCACCCAGGGTGGTATAATAGAGAGATGGCTAAGTGTGCTCTTTAAGTGCCGCCACAAAAGCCAAGGAGGCCTGCCTCCCCCAGTTCAGTCAAGCTCCCCAGATGTGTTTCCAACATGGGCAGGGCGCTCCCTTCAGGATGACGCTGTTGGTGTCCCAGCCCTCACTGGGCTTCTGGCCAGAGTGTGGGGATGAACTCCAAGTTGATGACTCCCCTACACACAGAAAGTTCAAGTGCACTTGTGGGACGACCATCTCCCGCAGGTTTGAAGAGTCCCCGTAAGTCCAGTGTGACCTAGTTCTGTAAAGGCAGCAACAGAGAACGGAAGCAGTTCATAGAACCTTCTCAAAGCTCCCAGGGGTACAGAAATTTCCATGCGCCTCACTGGACCCCAGCGTCCACTCCTCCCCTAATCCCACCCCAGGGTCTGAAGAGGATGAAATTGCACCTGTTTCCATTTCACCTCTTCATCCTCCTCTTGCTTTGCCTCCAGTGGATGCGGAAATGTGAAGCTGTGCCACACACACTGTACCAAATAGGGCAGAGTTTATAAAAACCCACCTGTGAACACCTTTCCTTTGCTGGAGACAGAGAAGACATGTCCTACAGGGGCTCAAGCAAGCGTGTGGGCATCTTGGCTTCAGGATTGTGTCCTGAGCTGCAGTAGCCGCAGCATCCTTGGACCCCAGAGAGGAGAGATGGAGTGTGTTTCTGGTCCAGGACAGTGTCCGGGCATCAGGGCTGGAGCAGTCGTGGTCAAGGACAGGAAGATGGGCTTGAGGGATGGAGGGGCCAGGTAGAGTTTCTGTGTGTGTGTGCATGCACGCATGCGTGTGCCTGTGTGTGTGGGTAGACAGGCTTCTTTATGCTTTTAAATCCTCTATGTGACAAGCATGATCAGAGGATATAGATGGAAACCAGAGTAAGGCCGTTTCTTTTAAACGATTTTTTTAAGCATTTATTTATTTGGCTGCATCAGGTCTTAGCTGCCTCATGGGGGCTCAGTAGCCAGTGGGTTTAGTTGTTCCATGCCTTGTGGAATCTTAGTTCCCCAGCTAGGGATCGAAGCCACAGTCCCTGCATTGCAAGGTGAATTCTTAACCACTGGCCCACTAGGGAATGAACCACCCAGGCCATTTCTTTTAGAATGGCAACCAAACATTGAGGTGGAACATTTGAAGATTTGGGGTCAGCTCCAAAGGTGAGCCTCAGACTGCCCCCAGGACAAATGGATATCTCTTTCCTGGCTCAGCAGACCGCCAGTCTGCTTCCCACCCATCCCCGGTGGGAGGAAGCCACATCACATCCTGGCCCCCGGAAACGTGGCTGACACCCAAGGAGGGCGTCCATCGTGGCAAAGATATGCTTCAGGAGACTCAAAGCAGTTGTGAGAGTTGTCATCTACAATCAGAGAGGTGGAGGGACTTCCCTGGTGGTCTAGTGGCTACCACACTATACTCCGAATGCAGGAGACCCAGGTTCAATCCCTGGTCAGGGAACTAGATCCCACATGCTACAAGTAAAGAGTTCACATGTGCCGCAACTAAAAGATTAAAAAAAGAAACAAAAGATTCCATATACCTCAGTTAAAACCTGATTCAGTAAAATAAATTGATAAATAATATTTTTAAACAAATAAACTCAGAGCAGTGGAAGTGGGGAGGGGAGTCCTCAGTTAAAACCTGATGCAAAGAAATAGTTAAATTTTAAAAAATAAAATCAGAGCAGTGGCAGTTGGGACAGAAGGCAGAGACCACTAAGGGAAAGATAAATGTGTCACTTTGACAGTCAAGAGTATGGATCATTTTTTAAAGGAGTCAGCAGGGAGCTAAAAATAAAAATAACTTCAGTCTTCTCCACTTTTCTCACAGTCATAAATGCAAAAAAAAAAAAAAAAAGGTCTGGGTTAGACTCACTAAGAAATTCAATCTGAAGCCCTCCTCTAAGCACAAATTGGGTTGGCCCACGTGGAATGGATTGAGCAGGAACAGTAGCACCCCTGCCAGCTCTCCCAGGGTGGAATTTTCTCCTGTCTCCCAGGCTCCAGTACTGATTGGGGTGACAGCCCAGCTTTGGTACCTGGGACAGGAAAGAATCACATCACCAGACACCTTCGGGGAGCTCTGTTCCCAGCCACAACTGCACAGCACCCCAGCCAGAGCCCAGACTCTGTTTCTTGTTTCCCACCCAAAGGAACACATAGACGTAAAAATCCCCGGGATCAGATTTTAAAAGCAAGAATAAATTAGCCAGACATATTATGAGGCCTCAATAACCGAAGGCTAATTGAACTTGCCACATAATAATAAACAGGCCACAAACGAGAAAAAGAGCCAGTGCAGCAAGGGAAGGGAGTATCTGCCCTGGAGTTCACCAGGTCTGGGTTCCAGGTCTTCAGCTAGCACTCAGCAGCTACATGACCCTGTGTAAGTTACCCAACCACGTGAACCTCCATGCCCTCATCTAGAAGTGCAGGTGACAGAAGCACCGACACGGTATTGTAAACATTCTAAGAGATGATACGTATCAAGCAACAATGACAGTGAGCCCATGGGAAGTGCTGAAGAAATGCTCTCTGCTAGTGTTCATATTATTACTCCTATTACTTGTCTAAGGCAGAACACCAAATTGATGCCTTGGGACTGTAGTGCTGCAGAAGACTCCTGAAAGTCCCTTGGACAGCAAGGTGATCAAACCAGTCAATCCTAAAGGAAAGAAGCCCTGAATTCTTGTTGGAAGTACTGATGCTGAAGCTGAAGCTCCAATATTTTGGTCATCTGATGCAAACAGTCAGCTCACTGGAAAAGTCCCTGATACTGGGAAAGACTGAGGGCAGAAGGAGAAGAGGGTGTCAGAGGATGAGATGGCTGGGTGGCATCACCAATGCAATGGACCTGAATTTGGGCAAACTTCAGGAGATGATGAAGGACAGGGAGGCCTGGCGTGCTGCAGTCCAGGGGGTCACAAAGAGTCGGACACAACTGGGACTGAACAACACACCTCCTATTGTCATCGCCGTCATCATTTTCTTGTCGTTCAGTTGCTAAGTTGTGTCCGACTCTTTTGTGACCCTATAGCCTGTAGCCCGCCAGGCTTCTCTGTCCATGGGATTTCCCAGGTATCTCCCGACACAAGGTACCCAACACCGGTACCTCTCCACATACTCAGACTCACCTGCACCCTCCTCCTCTCTGCTTCTGTGGCCTCCATGCACGGTCCATCATTTCCCTTTCCCCTGCCGTACACACTGGTTTCTGGACCTGGCCCCTCCCCATGCCTCACCCAGGTTACAGAAGAAATCAGACTCCCTACTTTGCTCTTACCCTTTCTCCCCCTCTGAAGTTGTTTCAGGCTGTTGGGGGTACTATTAAGGAGGAAAGAGAAAAGGGGTGAAAGGCTCTCTCCTCTGTCTCTTGCCCCTACTTGAATTTTTATACTGAGAGCTGGTTGAGGAAGATGGTGCAGGAGTAATCAGACAAAAAGCAACAGTGACATGGATTGGATGCTGAAAGCTTAAGGTTCACATGGACTTGAACAAATGTTTATTTCCAGCAAAACATACAACCTGACTCACTGACTATGAATACTGGGGCAAGAGAAGCAATCGGTGATGTCTCAGGATGGTGCCTAGGAACAGGTTTCCAAGTGCTTTGGGTTCACCCACCAATGCACTTCCAAGAGAAAGACTGGAGAGCTGACCCATGTTGCCAAGATTTTATTTGCCAACTAAGGACATGGGTTTTAAAAATCACCTACTGGGACTTCCCCAGCGGTTCAGTGGTCAAGACTTCCAGTACAGGGGCAAGGATTTAATCCCTGGTTGGGGAGCTAAGCTCCCACATGCCACAGGGCAGCCAAAAAGACAAAAATCGCCTATCAACAAATCTCAGCACAAAAACAACAAAAACAAAATCAAAAGACAGTTGGCCATCACCCATACATACACACAGAGTTGTCCTCATTTTTCTCTTTTCACAACAGACCTGTGAGAACTTCATTCTTGACTAGCTGGTACCAGTCCCCTGGCTGGACATTGGGATCCACTGGCCCACAGACTCATGATAACATTCAGTGAATTATCCTGGAGTGTCCACCATGACCCAGCCCCTGTGCCAGCCTGGAGAATCTTTTCTAGAGTTTTGGGCACAGTATGAGTGAGAGATACTGTTCCATTCACGTAAAAATAGTCTGATTTTCAGGACCCTGTCACAATCAAGAAGACAGACACCTTGACCCTAAATGTGTATATGGTGAAGAGAAGGGCTTCAAATGAGCTTTCAATGCTCTCTTCTCATTAATTAATAGAATCAAGTAGACAGAAAAACCGAGAGGAATGTAGCAGACACTATCAACTAACTTCCCCAGTGGCTCAGTTGGTACAGAATCGCCTACAATACTGGAGACCACCTGTAATGAGGGGACCCGGGTTTGATCCTTGGGTTCGATCCCTGGGTCGGGAAGATCCCCTGGCGAAGGAAATGGCAACCCACTCCATAAATCTTGCCTGAGAAATCCTGTGGACCAAAGGAGCCTGTCAGGCTACAGTCTATGGGGTTGCAAGAGTCAGACACAACTTAGGGACTAAGCCAACCAACCAATCAACTAACTTGACTTCATTGACATTTATGGAACCTTTCACCCAACAGCCACAAATACACATTCTTTTCAGGTGCATATTCACCAAGATCGTCAAATAAGTGCTGGGTCATCAAACAAGTCTCCAAAAATTAAAAAGCACTGGAAGGGAAACTTTGGCTTCATTTTATGCCATAATCACTCACTCTTCATGCTTCATGTTTCTATCAGAGGGACTCTGGCTTTGGCCACTAGAGAGAAACCTCTATAGCAGGAGAAAATTCAATAGCAAAGAAATACTTCTCGCTACTAAGATTTTCCTGTTTTGAGGCCAGGCTCTTACCAGAAGAATTTTCTCAGCCCTGAAGCCTCCATCAATCTTGGCGGCTGATGAGAAAGTACTAAGTTGTGTGGTTGGGTGGGTTTGCCAAGGTTGCCTGGGGTTGCCTGATTACCAAGGTTGAAAGTTTGTGCTCTACCTCCAAGAGGATAAACCCAGAACAGGGAGGGTGGGCATGGGGAGGGGGTGCTTCACACCCACCAGCTGAGATGCTTCATGATTCCAGCTCCTGGAAGAGTGAGTCTAGGTGCTTCCATGGTCCCCGGTGTACTCAGAATACACTGTCCAAGTAAATAATGCATGTTGCTATCCAACCACTTCTGCAACTTGTGTGTTATAATATGGGATTCAAGAATTCGGCACCCAGGCTTCAGCCATTTCTCTTTCCAGAATCTACCTGTGAGTGAGGTTTAGGCACTATTTAAGCTGAAATTCTTCTCCAGAACATATACATTCTGTTTCCTTGACATGCTCTGTGCTGTTACAAGCATGCAGACTGGAGGGATTGACCACAAATCACTCTGTGTGATTTTAGCTTTTCCAAAGAGATGCTGGGAGACCATGTACAAGACAAACTACCCCTGCAGCCTGGCTTCAAGCTACTCCATCTCCCACCCCTGCTGGTCTCACCTGGCTCACTCCACTCACAGCCACGTCCTACCTTTAGTCCTGAAAGGTTACTTCAAGCACCACACTGAAGAATTTCCATGACCTGGAAAAAACAAATGGCAAATGGTGATAAAAATCATCTTCCATTATCAATCTGTTCTCTTTTGTCTCATCTGACTATCCCTTTTTTTTTTTTTTGACCATGCCACGCCAGTTGTGGGATCTTAGTTCCCCAACCAGGGATCAAACCCATGCTCATAGCAATGAAAACAGAGTCTTAACCACTGAATTGCCAGAGAACTCCCTGTAAACCCCTTTTACCTACTGAAAAGGGCAAGGAAATGCAAGGGGAAAATACTAAACAGATTGTCTATCAGAATTCCTATATATGCAATTTTCCAATTAACCGTGAGATAAAAAAATATCAAATGTCCCATCATTAATGCATCCAGAATCACAGTCTCAAATTTGGTAAGCAAAATTGGAATGGAACCCCCTCATATAACTGCAGAAATGAAGCAAGTGTACATCAACACCACCAAACTGCCTGGGCACCGTTGCCATTTCTAGGAAGGTCTGTCAAGGTAAGAGAGAAACACACCAAAAAAGCTTCCATAAAAGTTTCCTTCCAACTTCACCTTTTCTTGGCATCACTGTGACAGTCAGATTTGTAACTGCTTCGTTTCTTGCCTAGGATGGAAGTTCTATGAGGACCGGCAGTCTGTTCTCTATAGCACTTGCGTTGCCATCAGCTAGCTTTAGCCCTTGTATGCAGTAGACCCTCTGTGGAATGAATGAGCAAATGAATGACTGTTTCTGACTCTTCCACCTATGTATCATCCCATTTATACTCACATTGCTTGATGGTTTCCTCTCAAATATCTCTTCATCTCTGGATTTATCTCAGTGAGGTCATTTTTTAAAAATATTTGTTTATTCATTTATTTGGCTGTGTTAAGTCTTAGTTGTGTCATGTGGGATCTTTCGGTGTGGTACACGCAGAGGTTCTCTAGTTGTGGTGCATGGAGTCTCCAGCTGTGGTGTGCGGGCTCAGTAGTTGTGGCACGCAGACTTAGTTGCTCTGCAGCATGTGGGATCTTTGTTCCCTGACTAGGGATTGAACCCACATCCTCTGCATTGCAAAGCAGATTCTTAACCACTGGATCACCAAAGAAGTCCCTCACTTTTCATTTTCTTAAAAAAACAAAAAACAAAAAAACCCTAACTATACAGTTGGTGCAGGGGAGTCAATTCTACCTTTTTCCCATCCTTTGACTGTAAATTTCGACTCGCCTTTTCCCACTGCCCTGATTTTTGCTGGTCTTGTCATCAAAAGATGGAGGGCAATTTGGTCTTTATCCCTCGGTGACCCTGGTAAGAACCTGGCTTCAAAATAGGAACATCTTAGTAGTGAGATGTGTTTCTTTACTGTAGAACTTTCTTTGGCCATCAGAGTCTGTACAGTGGAAGATTTCTCTCTAGTGGCCAACGCCACTGCCACTCTGATAGAAACATGAAGCATGGTCCAGAGTGAATGATTACGAAGTCAGATGCTGCTGCTTGGGAAATGAGTCATCGTTTATGGGAAGCACCTCCTGCTGCAGATGTTCTTTTCGGACCCTCCGCATGAGGCAAACTTGTCCTCTCAGGAGGTGACCACAGGCTTCTGTTCAAGGACCTGGCTCTTAAAGAAAATGTAGCCTTTCAAGTTTTGACTCTTGGAAGCACATCTAGTTGATCGCTTAGAAAGAGAGGCAGGAACAGCGAACCCTGACGAGGGGGTGCTGGGAGCAGCAGCAGACAAGTTAATAAGCCCCAAGTTGAGCTCATCTTAAAGACAACTTGTTTTGAAGAGTCTCTCTCCCAAAAAAGGCAGTGAAATGTATGAGTCATTTTCAGTAAGATTAAATTACTATTTCTTTCTGAAGCAATTAGCTATCTACAGCTTAGCCAGAAAACCATAACCAAGTGTTTATAGGTTCTTGTAAGTGGATATCAACAGTCTCTCCATTTTAAACACAGTAGTGTGTACATGACCTTCCCAAAGTCCCTAACTTCCCCTTCCCCCCAGCAACCATAAAGTTCATTTGCTAAGTCTGTGGATATAAGAGTATGTATGGCTGAGTCCCTTCGCAGTTCACCTGAAACTACCACAACATTGTTAATCGGCTCGACCCCAATACAAAATAAACAGTTTAAAGTTTTAAAAAAAAAGGGGGGGTGTCTCTCTCTCTGCCTGACTCTGACGTGTTAGAGACAAGATATCAGAATGTACAAAGATTCCCTCTGGGTTCTCATAAGTGTGTGCCTGTTTATGTGTGGGTGTGTCATCCTCAGAATGTATATATTCACACTCAAGCCCAGAAGTCAGCATTCCAGAACACATTAGAAAGCTGTCGCTCATCGAGCTGTGTTGAAGACAGATTTACTTCCTCAGCAATGTGATGAAGCAGCTCCGCGAGCTGACTCTACTGTAGCTAAGATAACAAGTCTGCAGGGAGAGGCTGCGTCACACACTCCTCTGCGAAACAGCTGCTTCTTATTCAGAATCAGAGTGTGTGCAGCTTTTTAAACAGCGCATTTTCATTCTGGGATGCGTGACAGGCCTTGGTTTTGTTTTTTACATTTCTCTGCTGCTCTTGGGTCAAGCAAACGTCTGCGTGACTTTGCAAATAACACTTGATTTCTGTTTTCTTAAAAGAAATTGGAAAGCTGGACAGCCAGATAACTGGGGTCATGGCCATGGGCCTGGAGAAGATTGCGCTGGACTGATTTCTTTTGGGCAGTGGAACGATTTCCAGTGTGAAGACATGAATCAGTACATCTGCGAGCAAGACAGGGAGAGAGGTAAGCAGTGGAAGGGATTTAAGAGAGCACTGCAGAGCTTATATCTTATTAAAGGGCAAGAGGAGTATAAGGGCTCTGAAAGTAGGTTCTGCAACTGGATTCCAGTCCTGATTCTGCCACTTAGTATCTCAGCAAGCTATTAACCTCAGGAAAATAATAATAGCAATCCTCTTAATGGGGTTTTTGTGAGGACTTAAGTAAGTTAATACATGTGCCTAATGTAGAGGAAGTACTCGGTAAATTTTAGACTAATGGGCCTAGGTCATTAACTTATAATACTGTCAGTCAGTTGTTCTTTATCATATGGCACCAATGTCCAAGTCTTTTCATATAACAAACTATCAGAGAAATTGGGAAAACAATACCACTTGCAATTGCATCAAAAAAGATAAAATATCTAGGAATAAATTTAACCAAGGAGGTGAAAGACCTATACACTGGAAACTATAAGACATTGATGAAAGGTATTGAAGAAGGCCCAAATAAATGGAAACATTCTGTGCTCACAGATTGGAAGAGTATTGTTAAAATGTCCATTCTACCCAAAGAAATCTATAGATTCAATGGACTCTCTATAAGAACTCCAGTGTCATTTGCCACAGAAATAGAGAAAACAATCCTAAAATTTGTATGGAACCACAAAAGACCCCAAATAGCCAAAGTAATCTTGAGAAAGAAGAACAAAGCTGGACATACTCCCTGATTTCAAAATATATTACAGAGCTACAGTAATCAGAACAGTGTGGTAGTGGCATAAAAATAGCATATATCTCTATCAGTAAAAGAGAATAGAGAGCCCAGAAGTAAACCCATGCACATATGGTCAATTAATTTATGACAAAGGAGCCAAGAATATACAATAGGGAAAGGACAGTCTCTTCGATAAATGCTGCTGTGAAAACTGGACAGCCACATGCAAAAGAGTGAAACCAGACCACTCTCTTAACTCTACAGAAAATAAGCTCAAAATGGATGAATGACTCAAATGTAAGATTTGAAACCATTAAATTTCCAGAAGAAAGCATAGGCAATAATCTCCTTGGCAGTGATCTTGGTAATGATTTTTTGGATCTGAAAACAAAGGAAAAAATAAATAAGTGTAACTACATCAAGGGGCTTCCCCAATGGCTCAGTGGGTAAAGAATCTGCCTGCAATGCAGGAGACACTGGTTTGATCCCTGAGTCAGGAAGATCCCCTGGAGTAGGAAATGGCAACCCACTCCAGTATTCTTGCCTGGAGAATCCCATAGACAGAGGAGTCTGGTGGGCTAGTCCATAGAGTCGCAGAGAGTCAGACAAGACTGAACACAATAGCACTACTACATTTGGGATTTGAGTTGACGCTAGGACGCCCCAGAATAGGCTCCTTTGAAGTGAATTTTACCTTTTATTGAATCTGAATAAGAACTTCGAGGCATTTATTTAAAAAAATAATTATTGAATAATGTATTTGGAATGTTTTCTTTAAAAACACCCACTCCTTTTTCTGAATTATCCATTAACATTGTTCTTTAAGAAGAACTAACACCCATTCTTTTTCCTCTCTTTTAGAATTAGCAATTACATTATAATGGACCATGATATCATAATAGGAGCAAACTGTCGACAGTTCTCAAAGGCAAAAGATACTTCTTTCTGATTGCATCACCTTCTCATTAGATTGAGGGGGAAATCACTGAAGACCAATTACTGAAAACATTGAAAGCCCGTGTTCTCTACCATCTACCTTGCTCAAGGACAAAGTTTGGAACAAAAGTGTTTACCTAGTGTGATGTACAGATTGTCAGTAAGCAAATGGACTGAATCATATAGATTTTTCTCAGCCAAAACCGTACAGTTATGCAAATCATGTCTTCCAGAGTATGGAATGCTCCAATCAGAAAAAAGATTATCATTGGTTATTGAGCTTTAGGAATAACTGAAAACATACACTGTGTAAACAGTACCTTACATTTCTATTGATAAAATCCCAAATGTAGGAAAAATATGCAGACATACAGATATATAGGCCAACTCTTAGTAACAATATGAAATATACTTAAAGAGCTTTTAAAATTTTGTATTTTTGTACAAAATATTTGCCTTTTTGCAATTTTTTTCTTTTTATTTTTGTCATTTTACCAATATAGTACATGAAGCCAAAGAAAACAATAATGGTACTAATAAAAACTCATAGGGTTTCTTGTCAGATTTAATTCTATGCAGTGGCAAAGAAATTTTTTCAGTTGTGGTTTAAAAAAATAATTAAATATATGTGTGTATGTATATTTTAATGTATCATTTCCTCAGAGGAGTCAATCACTTGAAATGTCTAGAAATGGCCCTGCAGATTTTGCCAGTGGAGGTCAAGGCTGAACATGTACGTGGCTCAGCCAAGTGGGCTACGCCTCCAGCCCATCACCAGCCAACACCCTTGCTGTGTGTCTGCCAGGCTCAGAGGAATGGTCAACTCAGGATGTGCTTTTTACTTCATTTTGGCGGAGTCGGGGGTGGTGGAGAGGCATCTGTTGGGAAGGGTGGACAGAGCACCTGTATCTGGCTATTAAGAGAAGGTCCTGTTTTGTGGCTGAGACATGAACACACTTGGTTTCAGGCCCATACCAGGGCAGATATTAAATGTCAGGAAAGCATAACATCACATCGGCCAGACACAGAGATGCTAAGATGGGGACAGCTCTATGCTACCTGGAAATCTTATGTTTTCTGGAGTCAGATTCCAAAAACACAGAATTCCAAGGCACATGCATGATGAAATGCAAGAATACAACCTTGGCCACTGTGTTGAACTCTTGCAAAGAACCTTTTGTTGGAGCCCGTCTGCCTTCTACTCTTTAAGTTGCCATGGAGAAGTCTAACATGCAGTGTGCTGAAATCAGGCTTAAATGTAACTGATGCTCAAAGGTAAGATTTCCACCCACCAGATTCCCTTCCCAGGACCTCCCCAGCCATGCTGCTACCTACCCCACGTACAATGGTAAAAGAATAAAGACAGAGTTTGACTTTGACGCCTGCAGCTGTGTGGACTGTGTTGTCTTGCCCTGGTCACCATTTATGCTGTCTCTGCAGCCCAAGAGTGGCCATCTCCTCAGCACCTGGATGTCCTGCTATCCTGCCCATGGGGTCTGGTCAGACTGGCCAGACCCGCCATCATCTGGGCCCTGCGATCCCAGACAGGCCCTGGACCCTGGTACCTCTTCAGGCTCAAGACCTTCTATAGACTAAACTGTATCCTCTTTTTCATCCTCTTCTGGTTTCTTAGGTGTCAGTTAAGATCATGTTTGGATGCAACTTGAACTTAAACATCTGATGCCATCATCAGAAGAGAATGTTGCTGATTCCCACAGCTGAAGATGTTCCTCTCCTGGCCCTTATACCTTACCCAGGGTTTATCATCTCTCAGGCTTCAATCAGATGCTCTCATGTCATCCTCCCAACAGCCCTAAGAAGTGGGGCTTCCTACTTACTCGCCCCATTTTATAGAAGGAGGCACTCAGGGAGGTGACATCATTTCCTGGGCCATATCATCACCAAGGAGTGAGACAGGATTCAGACTTGAACTTTGAAAATGTTCTAGAGGACTTCCTTGACGGTCCAATGGTTAAGACTCTGCACTTTCAGTGCAGGGGGGAAGGGTTCGATCCCTGGTCGGGGAACTAAGATCCCACATGCCACATGTGGTGTTAAATAGATAAGTAAAATGTTTTTGAATGATCAAAATTTTTAAAAATGTTCCTTATTTCAGAAGCAAGGTCCTTCTTAATAACAGAGTAAAATCAGATGAAAATCACACATTACCAGATGCCTCATGTACCGCTCTATATATTTAACTATTTATAGACCAGGTTTCTATTCACCTACTCACCACTGATGCTCTTCTGGGAGGAGAGTTTTGGTAAAAAATGTCATGAGGTTTTCAAGCTATGAGAAGTTACGAGTTGCTATGAGAAGATGGAAACTTTTTATTTTTGTTCCCATCCCTCAGCATGTGGGATCTTAGTTCCCCAACTAGGGATCAAACCCCCGCCCCCTGCAATGGCAGCTCAGTCTTAACCACTGGAACTCCAGAGAAGTCCCTGTTTTTCTTTTTAAATGGCTCTTGAAGAATGATTGCACAACCAGAAAGAATAAAACCCTTTCTTTGCCTCTTTTGCAATCAGTGTTCACCTTTGATCAACTCTTCCCATATCCGTCCGAGTTTAGCACTTAAGAGTTTAAAGCAGACAACAAATAGTACGACCTGCTCTCATTTAAAAAAAAAAAAAAACAGACGTTGAAGGAAGTAGAAAGCTACATCAGTCATACATCCCGCCATAAATCAGGTAACAATACTAAAGCAAGTGTATTTTGCCTCAAAACCGATTGATCTCTTCTTGGAAAAGTATGTTAACTCATTCATGGCTCAATAATAAGTATAATAATAATTTTTAAAAAGTAAATATATTTAGCACTTTCACATACATTATCTCTTCTAATCTTGGTGCAAAACCTTTCTCTCTACTTTAGGAATGAGGACGCTGAGGGGAATTTGAAGACTTGCTCATTGCCCGCATCCCAGTCATGCATATCTGATCAGGCTCGTCGTTCTTATGGTCCCTAAATCTAGGTCCATCCTAACCCTTACCCCAGCTTAAAGTCTTCTGAGTTGCCTGCAGGACACACGTGCAGGGGCCCTGGGGACCAGGTCCGCAGCTGTACCTCCAGCCTCCCCTCCGCTGTCCGCTCGTGCCCCCTTGCCCTGAGCTGGAACAGCCTTACCAGCCACCTGCAAAGTTCCTCCGTGCTCCTTCTTGCTTCTTACCGTGCTCCTCCTCCTTAGAAATCCAGGCTCTACCTGGATTTCATTCTCAACTTCTTTAAGATTCAGCTCAAGCATCACTTCTAGCCTGAATCCTTTCCCAGCATATGCATCCTGAAGCTGAGACTTCTCTTCATGTCAAGCAAGTGCTACCCCCAAGTGCTCCAGGTACTATGAAAGGAAAACCCTTTCACGGCGTTAAGACCATCTACAGATCAGCTGAGCGGCCCAAACATCACTGAATTAAGAAGAGAAAGGTGAATGGAGCCAGTCAGCTACAAAATCTTAAGAGAACTGAAGAATGGGAGAAGCCAGTCAGGAGAAATGAAGGCATTCGTGTTGATGATAGTCGGTTATTATACATCTACTATATTGGACATATGTGTAATATACCTATTGGGAATGGAAGACTGAGTGAAGAGAATCAACTGGCAAAAGAGATTTATTCTACTTAGCAACATATGGCCCCGAGTCAGGGAAAAGCTCTCGAAACCTTTTCTGAATGACAGTGTAAGGAAGTATCTCTTTTCTGTTATGCTCAACAGTTTTAGAAGTATAGGTGAACTTTGGCCATCTCTTTAAGAGGGAATTTTTCTATACAATAACTTCATTTTCCTGGAAAGCATCCTTTAGTGGCACAGCATCACACTTATTTTATAAATCACAAAGCAGATGTAGAGATTTTGCTCCACTCATTCATCCTTCTTCTTCTCTTCCTAGATACCCTTGCCAAATAAATATAATACATAGCATGCCCAGGTTACACAGGTAGCCAAGAGTCCAAAGAAAAGCAGGCTTAAGAAAACAAATTCTCCAGATGCAGAGCTCCTGGTTTTCACATTTTTCAATGAATGAGTTTATGAATGAACTATCTCAGTTCAGCCCTGCCTGCCACAGCCACGGTGATGGCCCAGCCTCCGAGGACTTACGAGCCCTGAGTTTGTAAAACAGGAATCACCCGTGCAAGTTGGGCAGGAGTCAGCTGCCAGCGAGGAAGCTCCCGCCAACAGCTCATCCAGAAGGTCATTAAATAGGCTTAACCAAAGGGGCTTTAGTCCTCTTGGCCAGGGATGGAGAATTGTCCTTTGGCCAGTGTTCCAACCACTGGTGCCAGAGTTTACTGTATTCTTTAATCATCGCTTATTGCCATGACCCACTAAATCATGCCTGCAAGCTGCAAGGAATTATAAGATTGTTAAAACCAGTTCCTGTGCCTGAGAGCAGAGGAGCTAGGCCAGGCCTGACAAAACCCAGCACAACTGCAGAGTAGCTGTAATAACACCTCATGACTCCCAGGAACTTGGCATGTACTGTCTCCAACCACTGTGCAGGGAAACTAACTGAAAATCAGACAAGTTAAATAGTTTCCTAAGAACTGGGATTTGAACCCACCACCACCTAGCTCCCATAGTAACCCTCCTGAGAGTTTCGGCTTTCTATGTTGTATTCTGTTCTTTGCCACAAGAAATCATTCAAATCACCAAGTCTCTCTCACAGAAGTAGGGAGATAATGGATGAATCCTGATTTGAGCTCTTTACATGAAAGTCCTACACCAGGGACTTCCCTGGTGGTCCAGTGGCTAAGACTCCACACTCCCAACACAGGGGGGCTGGGTTCAATCCCTTGTTGGGGAACTAGATCCCACAGGCCGCAACTAAGAGTTCACATGATGCAACTAAAGGTCCTATGTGCTGCAGTTAAGACCTGGTACAGCCAAATAAACAAAGGTACTAGATCAATCGCTTTGCTATCTAAGCAAAGAAGCAAAAATTCACTTGGCACCCATACCATGGATGTCCAAACCGGTCCAGATGGGAGAAACCACCCTAGATGCTAAAGCAACTAGACCTCTCACAGAGTTCTCTGATATAAATTAGTCAAATGAAAAGAGGCTCTAGAGCCAGACAGACCCAGGTTTGACTCCTGCTGTCTACCTCCTTTTATAAGACATACTCACACAAGTGGCAAATAGCTCTCTCCCCTTGTCTCATTCTTTCTCACCAGGCCCTCTACTCATGGACAGAACCAGCATTGGACCTGGGAGGAAAAGGCACACACAGAAGCCTGATGCTGCGGGAAATCCTGCTCACACAGACAAAAAGCAAGAAAGAGTCTCCAGTGGACTTGCTAACATGTTCTTATAAATCTATAATCCTGCCACCACTCCCCCAAAAATATCCACCATGATGTTCCTGGGTAGTGAAATAAGTGGTTTTTCTCTTGCTTACTCAGCATATACAGCGATCATATGTGCTGCAGACACACACTACCCTGCTTTTGATGGTAATTATAATTTGTTTCTAAGTAACTATTTGCTATGCCTCTACTGGGGCTTCCCTGGTAACTCAGCTGGTAAAGAATCCACCTGCAATGCAGGAGACCCCAGTTCAATTCCTGGGTCGGGAAGATCCCCTGGTGAAGGGATAGGCTACCCACTCGAGTATTCTTGGGCTTTCCTGGTGGCTCAGCTGGTAAAGAATCTGCCTGCCATGTGAGAGATCTGCGTTTGATCCCCGGGTTGGGAAGATCCCCTGCAGGAGGGCCTGGCAACCCACTCCAGTATTCTTGCCTGGAGAATCCCATGGACAGAGGAGCCTGGTGGGCTACAGTCCATGGGGTTACAAAGAGTCGGACACAACTGAGCGACCAAACACATGCCTCTATTCAGACAATACTATTTGAAAACAAGCTGTTTTTACTCAAAAGGTATAGTTTTGGGTCCATTTCATAAAATAGGATTTCAGGCCCACCCACAAGATGCCACCTAATTGACAGTCTGCAGAGAAATAATCAGAATGTCACATATTTCAACCCCACACCTACAACCTTGGTACGTTTGGTGAAGTATACCAAGGAGTTTGGATCAACAGGCATGAGGAATAATGACCAGTACCTTCATACAAACCTTGGCATTTCTCAGAGGAAAAAAGGGACTTAAAAGAAAATCACATGATGGCTAGATAGATGGAAAGAAAGTAGGGGAAAAGGGAAGGAAGAAAGGAGGGAGGAACATAGATACACAGATGCATAGAATAGAAGAGAAAAAGGAAGATTGAAGATCAGCTAAGAGAAAGCTGTTACCATTTATTCTTTCTTTTTAATCCCAGAGTCCATTTGAAAGAGTTCTTTCAGTGGAAAAAGCACTGCCTTAAAGTCCACTGAAGTCCTCCACCTTCCCCCCTCCCGCCCCCGATGACACCTTAGCCAGCACCACTGCACACACGCTTCCGAGGGAATGAGAAAATCATCTGCCCAGGATCACCTGTGCTCACTTTTCCACTCTGTGGCTCCAGCATTTGGAAATCCTAGAGCCCCAGAATTGCCTTTTCCTGTTTTCGTTTTCCATCGCCTGCACTGTGTTTTTCCACAGTCTGCAGTGAGAAGTGGCAGCTGGGTCAACTGGCCCTGGCATCGGGGGTTGCTGTTTCCCTCCCACTATGGGAACAGTTTCCCTCCCTCTGTGATTTAGCTCAGTGACACACACCCTGAAACAACCACACCTCATGAGACCAGGACCCAGCAAGTTACCCAACACTAGGTGGGGATGAACCTCCCCAGGAGCAGATCTGCCAGGGGCAGGCAGTTCCTGCAACCGGAGACCCCCACGGGAAGGTGCTGGGCACCTCTGAATAGTAGGCAAGGTTGATCTTCTGTCTGAACATTTGCATGAACTCTAGATTCCTGTCCTTTCTGGTCTAGCCTGGTCTGGGCTTCCCAGACAAGGCATGGTGCTAGTGGTAGAGAACCCACCTGCCAATGCAGGAGACATAAGAGACATGGGTTCAATCCCTGGGTCAGGAAGATCCCCTGGAGGAGGAGATGACAACCCACTCCAGTATCCTTGCCTGGAGAATCCCATGGACAGAGGAGCCTGGAGGGGTACAGTCCATAGGGTCACAAAGAGTTGGACGTGACCGAAGCCATTAGTACACACTGGTCTAGCCCCATTGCTATTTTTGAGAAATAATCTTCTACTTAGTGTTACAGATTATATAAGAAAATATCACCACCCTTAAGAAAAGAAGCCAGTCCCCAAGCACTTGAAGGATAATGCCCCAGACCACACAGCCTGATGTGTCCCTAAGTGTCACATTCTCCTGGGGTCTCACAGGTCCCTGCTGTCATCACAGCAGGGGGGACACTGCTCTGTCAAGACCCACACCCAAGCACCCGCCTCCCTTTCAGTCTCTAGGTTAGAAGCTCTGAAGAAGGCTTACAGTCAAGGCTAGAGCACAATAAAAGATAAACGGTCACAGAGAGCATCCAGATGCTAGACAAGCAGAGCTTGCCAGCCAGGGAGATCTCACCTGGACTGCTCCTTTCCTCGCTCCAGGGTGCCACCCGACATCACCTTGAAAGCCCTCTTTTGTCGAGAATCTTTTGGGCATCCAGCCCCCTGACGTGCCCCTCTCTTGCGTATAGATCTGTGGGTCCACGCTGGGGACACCTGTCTCCGGTTATCCACATGACACAGATCTCAGCCTTCAGACAAGATCGTCTCTCCCTTCGTGGTTGGCACCAAAATAACCAAGTCTCAATAATAAAAACCCAAAGCCACTACTGTAAGAGACAGAGGAAAGGACAGGGAAGGAGACAAGCCTTGGTAGAAAGGCTGGAATGTGAGACTTTACCCAAAGGAGCATTATCTCCAAAGGCCACGTGCCACATGTTAACCTACAGATGTTCCATGAGAGTCCTCAGCATTTCTCAAATGTGAATTAAATTGAGCACCTTTACTGTACAAGCAGTTGTTCATTCATTCATTCACCAAAGATTCACATGGTCAATCTCTATGGCCTCCTTACTATGTTCTAGATCTTGTACTAGGTACTAGGAATCTCCCTCTTCTTTTTTTATACTCACGGGATTCTCTATATATTTTTCTGTAACTCATTTTTAATATAACTTTATTTATTTATTTGGGGGACTCTTAGTTATCATGGGGAGGAACCTGGGGATAAAGAGATAAAGCACATATTTTTATCAGGCTAGTGCCAAAAGCAAATTTTAAGCTAGTTTAATCATGTGGACAAAAAGCCAGGACAATGAAGAGGTCTTCTTCAACAACAACACAGCGGGAAAAGCTGCCAGGTGAGTGAGGCAGTAACTGCAGATGCTTTCACAACACCTGGAGAAAGTGCGAAACCCTAGCTGTGACTTCAGGTCATTTATTGCTTACTTGTTTACTGTTATTTTTAGTATTTCAGTCTCTTCAAACATGCCACCAAAATTCTAGCAAATGGGAATGGGTGAGAGATATAAGAGGTGAGAATCAGTGAGCCAGGTTGTCAAAATGTCAAAACTAAGAGAAAGTAAAAAATTGGGAATAGAGTTAGACTGATAAGATTTCTGACACTAGCGGCAAAGCCTCTGCTTTTGGCATTGGGCTTCCCAGGTGCCACTAGTGGTAAAGAACCTGCCTGCCAATGCAGGCAACATAAGAGATGTGGGTTTGATCCCTGGGTCAGGAAGACCCTCCAGAGGAGGGCATGGCAAACCACTCCATGTATTCTAGCTTGGACAATCCCATGGACAGAAGAGCTTGGTGGGCTACGGTCCACAGGGTCACAAAGAGTCAGATATGACTGAAGCCACGTAGCACGCATGCACTAGGCAAAAACATCTCCAAGTCCTTCCAGGCCTAAGATTATGTCCCAAGAAGACAGCCCATTTGTTGGAGAATTTATGTCCCACCAACTGATCGCAGGAGAGAGAAAGGAAGGGGTGGAGGGAAAGTAATTTTTCATGGCGCTGAGCCTGAGACCACTGTCAATGTTGTAATTATATCACACTTGCTGTTTATTTAGGTCATTTATTGGGATAAGGTACATGGGATCATTTAAAAATGACATTCATTTGGTCCCTTTCAAAAACATTCAACTGGCTTACGTGAGGAGCAATAAAGTGCGAAAGTGACATAGCATCCAAATTGCAGCCATGTGTGACTTGGCTTTTTTATTTGGGGGGAAAGGAAATGGTTAAGCCTGAAGGATTGTGTTTCTCTCTTGTCACTCCGACTCTGAGTGAATAATGAGTTCCTGCTGGTGACACCCTGGCTTGGGGAGGCGAGTGCAGAGGGGCTTTGGTACCCTTCCAAAGCTGTGTGTGAGCCTTCACCACAAGGCCTGATTCTGGGGGAGGAGCAGCGGGTGAACCACGCCGTGCAGAGGCTGGGAGTGCCACGTGTTAATGTACAGACCTTCCCTGAGAGACCCTGGCACTCTCAAATGTGGATTAACTTGAGTTCCTTCACTGCATTCATTCAATCATCAAAGATTCATATGGTCAACCTCTGTGGCCGACTTACTACGTTCTAGATCCTGTAGTAGGTGCTGGGAATCTTTTCTCTTTTTAAACACTCACAGATCCTCTATATATTTTTCTATAACTCATTTGTAAATATAATTTTGCTTATTTATTTGAGGCTGTGCTGGGTCTTTGTCGCGTCACTTTTCTCTAGCATGGTGAGCAGGGGGCTACTCTGTAGTTGCAGGGTGCAGGCTTCTCATTGTTGCGGAGCACAGGCTCTGGGGCTCACAGGCTTCAGGGGATGCGGCACATGGGCTCAGCAGTTGTGGGTCCCCGTCTCTAGAGCACAGGCTCAATGGTTGTGGCACATACGCTTAGTTGGGATCTTCCTGGACCGAAGACTGAACCTGCGTCTCCTGAATTGGCAGGCAGATTCTTTACCACCGAGCCACCAGGGAAACCCTGGGAATCTTTCTTGAATTGCCTGGAAAGCAGATCCCAAGATAAAGGCCTCATCTACCTCCCCCATCACCCATTCTAGGTGTCACTGACCCTTGGCCACTGGAGGCTACCAGCCTGATGGGCTGACCCAGAACCTCAGTCCTGAGTCCTTAGCTGCTTTGGCCTCATCAAGCCATAGATGTTGAAGCTGCCCACTTACTTTTACCCCTGGCAAGAAAGAACCAAGAGACACCCATGCAAGCCTTCTGGGTTCCAGTCAACTCCTCCATACTTCCACTGTGTAAGAGTAACCCTATTCCTCGTAGTAGTTAGGGTCAATTTTGTCCACCAAGGGAATAATTCTTTTCTTTGCCAGTTCTTCCACTGACACGAGGAGCTTCAAATGACCTGCCTCCAGTGGCCACAGCTTCAAGTTGAATTGCTGCCTGGTGGTCCCCTTGTGGAAACCAGAACCTTTGAAGTGGTGGAGTCTAAAATTGAAAGCTTGATAAGCAGGGATCCTGAGAGTATCCACACCAATTTATACCTTTTGGTTCTTATCCCTGTGAATTCCAGTTTTGGGAAACCTAGCACTATAGCCAGTGACTTAGTGCATATAACTTCACTCTGGAGGATAGCATGGTAACCTTACAGGTTATTGGCCCAAGGCTAGAACCCTAGCTGAGCCTTCAATAGTCCTTCCACCATGCCATTAGACTAGCTACTTCTAATTGATGGGATATCTGGGGAGACTAGTGGATCTCGTGGTCATGTGCCCATTGCCACAATGGTGTGCAAGCTGCCATTTTTAATAGATCAGGAATTCTGTAGGCCCTTGGTTGATAGTATTAATAGAGACATGTGGGTAAGGTAGGAATCATTCCTGGTAAGTA